CTTCTGTCACCCTTTATTAAGCTGCTCACAGCAGTTCTGCAAGTCACTCTTGACTCCAAGGGCATTTTCAGCTAATTCCTATAACACTTATGAGAAATATCAATAGGCAGCCTCAGAATACAGCTACAGCTAAAAGCAGAATAGAAAACACTTTGCGATTATTGAAAAGTTTTATTAGGCAAATATTTTTGTTGGTTAGTTTGTGATTTCTGTGTGTATTATTCTACGTGGTGCTTTTGGATGATTTCTTTCTTTGCTCAAGATTGCTTGTTCAAAAGCATTTGGGAAGTATTAAGGGAAGTAAGTTGGACATACAGGCTTATTTTCACTTAGAGGAAAAGAAGAGTCACAGTTTTTCTTCCCTGTCCTACATTTTTTAAAGAAAATGTTGGCAGCATGTTATATGACGGAAGTGAGAGCTGTGACAGATTTAGGGCTGCTTTGTAAACCTTTAAATATATTCTCTGTGCTTGATCTCTATGAAAGATGTGTACTGTGTTAGTATATAATTTCAGTGTAATGGCAGATTTAAATAAACATATAAAAGGGGGAAATAAGCACCAGGAGAAAATACACCTAATCTAGTATTTCTGTCGTTTTCAAGAAGGATGTTAAGTCTACATGAAGATGACTCTAAGCCTTGGATCCAAACATACCAGCAAAGACAACAATGAGCATCTATGGATTACCCTTAAATGTGGCTAAAGCTGGGAGTATGAGTGAAAGGGAAGAAAACTGAAAGCATGCCTGTGTCTGAGAGAAAGTAGGGGGCCTGAGAACAAAGGCACTTACTAGATCAGTGATTGTACTAGGGCATGATAAAGCTAATTCTGAACTGGATTTACTTATAATCTGCTTTTCTCCAATCATCATTGAACAATATTTAAAGAAAGTTATTTGGAGATGCCAAAACAATGTCAACAGCTGGTAAGAGTTCCTGGAGCTGTGCCCAGTGCATTCTCTTGAACGAGTACATTTACAGTGCAGTGTACTGCAGAGCAGATACAACAGCAGAGGGCCCAGCCCTGAGTGCAGTCATCAGCCTTGCCCTTGGCAGGGGCTCCCCTCTGGGCTGGGACACCCTGCTCTTGGCCTGAGCTGTGTTGTAGGAGGGCCTGTGCTCAGCCATGTTGTCCAAACTTGGTGGCTGGCTTGACTTGGGTCCTGACTTCACTTGGCAAAATCATTTCTGCCCCCAGCCCTGCTCAGCTTGCTTTGCTTAGATGCTGTGGGATGGTGTGTCATCTGGAAGGCTGACCTTCCTTCATGAAGAGGTCCCAGTTCTGGTGCTGCCTAATGGGGAAAGTCACTGATGTCCTTGTCACCTCATCTTGGAGTGCACAGCTGGTAAAACATGGATGTGGAGTTCAAAATAATGTAACCTTCTGAAATGGTAATACAAAAGGAAGGTAAACATCAAACTGGCTTGAGCTTGTAGGAAAAAAAAATGAGATGAAAGAGAGTGATTAAGTTAAAAAACAGAATGGAGTCAAGAAGAGGAGGGAGTGTAGGTGTAAAAGCCAATTAGCGTAGGGTTTGGGACATAACTGCGGAAATGTACAGCAGGAACATTTCACAAGGAAATTTCTGCTTGTGGTATGCAGAAGCAGATGGGAGCAGACAGTGATGAGCAATTTTTCAAATTCTTTCTAAATTCAAAGAATTTTAAAAAAATCTAATGGGCTTATGTGGTGGGAGGGAAGGAGTGAAACAGAAATAGTAGCTTGGAGAGGTTTCTATCTAAATGTATGTAAGTACAGCTAGAGGATTGGGATGTGGGTGAATGTGCAGCAAAGGAAGAAGAGATTATGTGCTTACAGTCAGTGGGATCTTCGTGTCAGAACAGTCATATGGTGGCCCACTCTGGCTGCTGGCATTCCTGTGCCTTTTCTCTAAGAGGACCATCCATGCCACAGCTCCCTGGAGAGTCTAGGGAAATGGCTCTACATGTGGAAAATGGAGGTGCAATTGAGAGTGGACATCCAGGGACCAAGGTGCTCACACTGATTTGGATAAGTGAGGGGGCATGGGATACAGAAATCCTGAGTATCAGCGCAAATTGAGAGGTTCCACGTGAATAATGATGTCCAGAAAACAATTTTTTAAAAATTAATTCTGTTCATATTTTTCACTAGTACAGAATGCCTATGTTGCTTTTAGTTTAGTCTCAATGGATGTGCTCCCAGTAGGTTTTTAAAGTGTACTCATGGCCTGGGATTGTGGAACTGAAAGAGTTAGGGACTCCTACATTTGTTTGCTGCATAAATGAGTGCATCCTGCCACTATTGGTGCATGTTAGTTTCCCAGGGCCCTTCGAGGCAACTTGGCTTGTCTTAGAGCTCCTGGAAGGCTGCCAAGCATGTGCTGTTTCCTTCACACATGCCTGCTATCCATCCAAGACACCCCAGATATTGTTAAGGAAGGCCCACACTTGTTTCATTCTCTGAATACTCATCTCAAGAACATGGTAATAGGTACGCTCAGTCAGAAAGCGACTGGGCAAGACTGCAAACTCCTGAGAGAGAAATGCAGGCTTGCTCTCGGCGCTCCGTGACGAGCCTAGGCCTAATTCAAGCTGGTCCTGGTAAGCAGCATCAGCTTGTATGTCAATGGTTTCTCTTGTGGTTTTGGTCTCCCAAGGGGGTAAGTATCCCAGGAATGCTTTTAAACATGGGCCAGCTATTTTCTTGGCAGCAACCTCTCAATATGAGAGCAATGCAGTTTGCTTGCATCTGACAACAGAAAATATCTTTTGCATTTAAAACAATTAAGTATTTCTGTGCTGTACTCTTACAATGTCTGCTTGTTCTCTGTACTTGCTGCCCTTTGGGAATTCCTCTAACTCCATGGCTTCTTTCCTTCTCTCTCAGCCCACTGGGTGTATCAGGGAGACCTTTTATATTCTGGGACAGGCTGTGAGCCTCACACAGACGGCAGTTGCCGGATGCTTAGGAGAAGTTAGATGGAGAGCACAGCATGAAGCAGTAGATCTGTCTTCAGGATTAAAAGAACCAGATGGGAAAGCTATGGATGGGATCTGGTATATGCATTGAGCAACTGTCAGATTTTTCCTGGACTGACTGCCAAGTAGAGAAGCAGATTCCCACCTTCACCTCTTCACCTGAACCAGCAATGACTGCATGGAACAGATGTGTTGTGTGGAGCTGGAACAGGTTCAACACTCCCAGCCAAGATGGGCTCTCTCACAGAAGATATAATCTGTGTAATCTCCCATGGCGGTATCTTAGGTTGTGTCCTTGTTTCAGAAATGCTTTTAAGAAGCAATGTAATATTTGAAATTATATCTGCTAGATGACACCTTATTTCCCCCAATGTTTATACAATATACTAGTGGTGGTGCCAACCTATCCATAGTTAAGTATCATTGTTCTCACGTTTTGAAAGCCAAGAACTGAGAATCCTGCAAAACTATTCCCAGGAGTGTGAAGCCATTTGCAGGGACCCTATTTTCCCCAACGTTTATACAATATACTATTGGTAGTGCCAACCTATCCATAGCTAAGTATAATTGTTCCCATGTTTTAAAAGCCAAGAACTGAGAACCCTGCTGTCTGGTACCATGTAGATTAAATACCTGTGCCAGTGTGCCTGGATAGGAAAGGAAGTGCTGCAAAACTATTCCCAGGAGTGTGAAGCCATTTGCAGGGACCAGAAGGCAGCACAAATGCAGAAGTCACAGCACTGACAGTGGGTTCCCAAAACTGAGAAGATGGTATATGCTTTCCCTTTAAACAATAGAAACGTGTATAAATAACAGGTGGCAAACGAATATTGGTAGAAAAATTAATCATAGAGGAGTTTCAGAGCAGAGAGAAATACTACATGACTCTAGGAAGTGAATTATCGGGTTTTCCTCATTGTTACAGCTGCGGGAGGCTCCAAAGGTGCTACCTTTCCCTTAAGATTGCTACTTCATCAAGGGCCGAATGCTGGGACAGCATAGAAGCCCATCGGCATTTACTAAATTCTGAGCTATTGTCCTGGACACCTCTTAAAAGGAATTTCATCCTGTAACTTTGCATTGCACCGGTGGATGCTGCCGTGAAACACGGGTGCCTTGGCGGCCTTTAGCCAGCTCCCCACACGCTTCCACCCGCTCCCGCTCTCGCGTTGTTTCCCGGGCGCGGGGCGCACCCGTCCCGTCCCGTCCCGTCCGCGCCGAGCCCCGCCGGGGACACGCACGGCACACGCCGCTCCCGCGCCGCCTGACCAATGGCAGCCCCCAACACGTAGGCCTGGCCCGCGCGCGCTGGCCGCGGCCAATAGGCGCGCCCCATGCAAAACACCGCGCCGGGAGACGCCGCTAATTGGCTCCGTCGCAAGGGCGGCGGGTCGCGCGCTGGGCCGGGGCGCGGAGCTGGCGGCGCCGCCACAGTGATGGGGCTCGCCCGCCCCGACAGCGCCTTCTCCGGTACCCGGCATGTACCGACCTGTGTCACGGGAGTGGCTAAGGCCGGGACGGGGGGGGAGTGCGTGCGCACCCAGGTGCCGTTTCGCTATCTCATTCATTAACAGAGCTCCTAAGTTCACATACCCGCGCCCCCAGACCCGCCGCCCTTTCTGAGGGGAGGGCCGGACTGGGGTCTCGCCGCCAGCGCGGGATCCAGGGTCCCGGCAGCGAAACGCGCGGGCCGCGAGCAGCCGCCGTGCATCCCCGCCCCGGCGCGCGAGGATCTCCCCACGCGCGCCCCTGGGCGCAGTGGGCGCGCATGCGCGGGGGAGCGCGCGGCAGCGGCTGCGGCGGCGGCCGCGGGAGGAGGCGGCGAGGAGGCGGCGCCTGTGTCGGCGCTGGAGGTTGTGTCCTTCCTGGGGAAGCTGCTGTGCGCAGTCGCGGCGCTGAAGGCGGCTCTGTACCTGCTCCGCAGAGTGTGCCTAGCGATGGCCTGGAAGTCGGGCGGCGCCAGCCACTCCGAGCTCATCCACAACCTCCGCAGTGAGTCGCGGGGCGGGGGCGCGGGCGGGCGGGGCCCCCGGGCTGCGGGGCGGCTGTGGCCGGCCGCCGGTGACCGTTAGCGACCGCGCGCTCCCGCGGCGCCCGCCCGACCCGCCGCCAACTGTCACGGGGAGCGGCACCGGCGCCCGGCCGCGCGTGTCCGTGTTGTCCGTCTGTCTGTATGCGTGTCTCTGTGTCCGAGCGGGGGTGTGTCCGTGCGTGCCCGGGTGCTCGGGCCGGGGGGCGTGTGTCCGGGCGGCGGCCGCTGTCGCAGGGCGGGCCGGGCCGGGCTGTTGTTGCGGGAGGCAGTGCGGCGGGCGGGGTGGCGCCGATGGCGGTCCCGGAGGGGAAGCGCCGTGCGGCGGCCGTGGCTGTTCCCTGCTCGCCGCGTGCCCCCCTCGCCGGCCCCGTTCCCGCCGCCGCGTTCCCGTCTGCCGTGTGCGAGCTGAGGCGGGGCCGCGGCGGCAGCGCCGGAGGGCCCGTGATCCCCCGCACGCACCGGGATCGGCGTCCGTCTGGTGCGCTGCGGCCGGCGGGACTGGGGGTGTCGGCGGGCGCCCTCCGCTCTTTCAGGCCCGGGCTGAACAACGCAGCGGGAGCCGCCCGGGTTTGGGAATCGCGCCGAAGAGGCCGCGGCTGTTTGTGTTGGGCGAAAGGGGCGTGCGGCAGCAGTCCCTCCTCCCCGCTCCCGGCGGGGTCCCGAGCGGCTCCGCTCGAAGGGCTGGGCTGGGACCGCGGGGACAGGAGAGGAACGGAGCTGTCAGGGCTGCGGGCTCGCGCTGTGACAGCCGAGCTTTGCGCTGCCTTGTGCTCGCCCAGGGTTTGTGCTGTCCCCGTGCTGAACGTGGAAGGTGTCGGGCGGGCGCTCCTTCGCCGATGTACTTCAGTACATCCTGAAGTCTGCAGGTCAGTCCGCAGGTCCTGAGAGGACGGAGAGACAACACCTTCTGTATTCAAAGCTTCCATTTTTTCACATTAGAATAGAATTAACTTCTCTTATATATACTTACAGTGTCTCTCGTCTCTGCTCTGCTCTGCTCCTGGCCTTTTCCCTTCCTCTTCTCAAGTTCGTGTCCTAGATGTAAAAGGATGTAGATCTGGAGCCTGTATTATGACAGTTGTCTCCTATTTTAGTGACACTACAGCACCACAGACAAGTTCAGCTGTGTGGTCTCCTCGTCATTCTGGTGTCATAGGAGAATTGTTGTTTTCTCCTTTTCTCTGCTTATGTTAGATCATCTGATTCTGTGGTCTTTCTCAGTATTTTCTTTTGAAAACTATCACATCCAACAGAATAATACATGCTGAAGTGACTTTCAGCTTCCCTGTAAAAACTACTAATTATGGTAGAGTTTCTGTTTAATAAATTGATAATAACTTCTCTAGTTACAAGTGTTGCAATACATTTGTTTTGTTTTGTTCTGCAACTGAAAGGGCTAGAAATACTGTTTTAGTGAAATACTGTTCTCTTACACAGCAGGAAAAAACTTTCTGTTGTAAAACTCAACATTAAACTCCAAAATACATCCAAAAAGCAATTATTGCCAGAATAGTCTATGGCGCTCAGAACCTGAAGGCAAAACCAGTTTCTTTGTTGCAGAAGACAATGACAGTTTTTCAACACATGGAAACTGTTTAGGGCGTAGCAAATGATGATGACAAAGCTAAAAACCATTGTAGTTAGTATACAGCAATAATTGTATAGGAGGAGGAAAGTAAAACAGAAGTGCTCAATATTGTAATCTCAAAGCATGCACTGATGGTAGTTTCCCCCTCTCTGTTTTGCATAGGCATGACAAAATGTTTTGAGGGGTGTTAAACAGGGAAATAGTGGATTGGCAGTAAAATATTGTGGAAGCAAAAAGGCCTTTGATCTTGCAGGAAGATTGTGTTGTCAACTTCAGTGGGACTCTGTTCCTGGCGTAAGGCTTTATCAGGGCAGAGCAGCTGCTGAATTAAGATCGTAGCTTTCAAGTTAGAGTTCCTCAGGTAAGAGGATACCTTGTTGCTAAAGTTGGGAACAGATTTAGAAGAAAGTACTGTTTAATGTGATACAATTCTCCCATATATGTTTCAACAAACTTAAAAATTAGGGGTTACAGAAAGACTAAAATGTTCCATAGAATTCTTTTGGAGTAGTAGATCCATCAATGTATTGTCCCCTCTCTAAAAACAGCTACATAGCATCTACAGCTTTTAATGCTAAAAGTGAGAATGCAAATTGGATGAGGTTAATTTAATGTTGTCCAGTGTTTGTCTTGTGTGTAACTTAGTAAATGTGTGTGTAATGTAGTGTATATTTTGCATAACTTAAAGAAAATAATGCAGGTTATAGTGATACAGTATGTTTTCTTCTGCAACTAGTCCTGGTAGAGAGTTTAAGCCACAATTCTTCTCTTGGCTGTTCTTGTAGAATTGCTTGTGAGGGAGGCAGTGCTCTAAGGCTGGGTCTCTTTCTCATGACTTGTGAAACATCAAGATTTAAGCTCCTCAATGTCTGTCAGCTGTTGTACTGTTATGGTTAGAGAAGCAGTAAACTTGGTTGTGCATAAATGAGGGCTGGGAAGAATGGGAACTTATTAACGTGGTTTTGCTTCCAAATGAAAACATCATTGGAAGATTCCTGTATGCTGCATGTTCTTTTCCCTTAAAAGAGCTGTAAAGATTATTCTTAATTATAGGCTGTTATTGACAGTTACTAGTGCTTCTGTTTTGTGGCTATAAAATTCTCCATTTCGTGACATTTGTTTTACTGCTCGTTTCACTGTTGCCTTAACTATAGAACTAACTTCTCTATAATGTAGCAGTCATTGTGTTAGGGCAGTGACAAGTGATTTTGGGTATTTACAATGCAGATTTGGGCAATTATTTTCTATAGGCTTTATCTTTGCTGTCTTGTCTTAAAAGAGACAAAGTAATAAGGAGGGTCCCGGAACTTTGCATGTTTTTCAGCACATGCTTAGGGACAAGTGACTGGAGAATGTTGCAGTACATTGTTTTGTTGTTTTGATTTTTAACTTCTTGTTGCATGGTAAACATGTTTTTGCACTGTTAATTTGAGGCATCTTAGATGCACAAATTGACATATGCAAAATAAACTTATTTAAAACATACTCTTCACAACAAAAAATGCTCTCCTTGAATGTGCTGTTGCTATGAGGTGTTCAGCTGCTTTGTTTCAGTGATTCTTGAAAGTACTTCTCATTTTTTAAAAAAGCCTTTTAAAAATTGGAATGATTCTTCATTAAAGCCTTAAAACAAATATTTTTCACCTTCACAGAGTAATTATTTAAATCTTTGCTTCTTCCTAACTGAAAATAGTTGAACATGTGCCTTCAAACTTGAGTAAACTTCTCCCTAAAATATATTTAAAGTAAGATCTTTTAGCAGACAACATTTCTAGGGAGCTCTCTAAATTCAGGTTACAGTAGAGTTAGAAATCATGCTAAGCATAGAAATAATTACCTGACAGGAGATCTTTTTAAAATTATGAATCTGTCCTATAGAGGTGCTGAGGAAGGAGGAAAAAAATGGGTGAGTTATTTACTGTTGTCTTGCTTGGTTGAAAGTCTTATGATTCTAAATCTGTAACTTTTTTCCTCTCTCTGTATGTTCAGCTATCCGCTGATAGGTTACTACTAGATCATTTCATCTTCTGTCTTTCATACTTGGGCTTTTGCCAAGTCCTGCTACTTTACATGCCAACATCTTAGAAATCAGCTTTTCTTTCCTACCTGAAGGACACAAAAATTGGTTCCCTGTCCAATTCACGAGCAATCAAAGTTCATTAAGTTTCCTTTTTGCGCCTTTTCCCTCCAGTCAATGTCATGCTGCCCTAGGACAAGCTGGCTTTGCTTATTTCTCTGATCATGTTGTGTCAGTGGTGTTTTCATCCCATATACCTGCTCTTGAATCCACATTTCTCAGTGAAAGTGAAGGTGAGTTGACTTGGCTGTGGCAGATGTTGTTAACCATCTGTGGATTTGTTTCTTACTACATTTTTTTACCTTCCTCACCTAATAAACTTGTGTTGCAAAAGTTAGCAACTCTAATTTACAAGATTCCATAGAATTTTGCACCTCACATAAGATCAGAGTCTTAATTTTTCAGTGTGAATGATGCTTCAAATCAGTATACGTTCAAATATTATCAGGGTCTGAGAATTCTATTTCTAAATATGCTAAAGGTATTTCTCTAAGTATTTTAATTATTTAGATGTTAAATAATTAAAAATGGCATCTTAGAATGCTTTGTCATGATGAAGGCTTATCTGCAATGAATCTGCACCTTTGGTGCAAGTTTCTGGTTGCTGAGGAAAAATCTTTTTGGGAACTAACATGAATGGGAAAGCATTGCATATAGTAAGCCTAAGCTAGGTTCAGCAAGTAGTAAACATTGGTTTTGTTTTGTTTATTTTCCTCTGTCATGTCTTTTCCCTTGGTTTATCCAAATATCTTCTACATCAGTCTCATTTTGCTTAAGGAAGAGTAATGTAGCTTGGATGAACATGAAGAAGGGAAATAATAATGGAAAATTAGGCCAAATTTAATGACTCCCCTGTACAAGCACTTTTGCTGCCTGTTGTATGTATTCAGTGACCACTCTTTCCTTCATCACGAATGTATTGAGGCTTCAGTGACTAAGCATTGTAACTTATGACCAGGTAGTGAAGTGGTTAGAAAGTGAACTATTTTTTCAATTAAAAATTAACACATCCACTGATAAGTTAATTTAAGAATATCTAAAATTTCTTAAATTTGGTTCGTGTCTCAGGTGGCAGGCTTAAAATCTGTGATGCTATTTTTTGGGGCATTGAGATTTTTAAAAAATTTTGTTAGCAAGTAATTTGAATAATCGCCTAAAGGAGTTGCTGCGAAACTTTATTTTTAAGTACTATTTAAGTATTTGCTAATGATTTGCCCATATCAGTGAAATGTTTTGAAGGAATTTCTGTACCCTTGATCTTTTAAGAGGCAGGCCTTCAAGTAAATCAAGACAACTAGATAGCCCAAATAATAGGAAATGATAACAGAAAGAAAAAACCCAACCTAAATTTAATAACATTTATAATGTTTTATTGGTGTGTAAATTAAGATTGTGTTCTTAACTGGTTCTTTGTTGTTGGCATGTTTTTTGCAGTTAATGTTAGACAGGGTGTCAATGTAATGTTAAAAACATACCTATACTTTCCCAGAAACTTCCAAAATTCAGTGCATCAAAATCCAAGTCCTCGATCATTCAAGAAAAAAAAGAGGGCATTTTTTGCTGATTTATTACATCACAAATCTTTATAACTTCTAATAAATAATTTTAATTGAAAATATTTTGTTATTTTTCTTGATTAAATATATTTTTTTATTTTTGTGTGTGCATATAATGTCATTATATGATTTTTCCTGGTGGTGTGAAGCTGTCTAGTAATCCATAGCAAAATGGAAATGATACTGCAAATGTGTCCAAAACAGGTCATTATTGCTGCATGTGGGCATCTAAAAAGAGGGAATCTTCTACTATGGTTTAGCTTCAGTACAGCTCTAAGCTTTTCTTTTAATGCTACTGTTTCTTTCATCCTGATGTAGTATCAGGAGATCACTAAGAGCCACTGGAAAGCCTAGAAAAAAATGTATAATGTTCATGTTCTTTTGAGTGAGTGTTTATGTGAATGTTATCCCTTAATGCCTCAAAGTCGTGTTCTTTAGTGCTACATAATACTTTAAGTAAATAATTTTATTGATTATGATTTTATTTTTAATATAATTATGTTTTATTTTTTAATTTAAATTACCAACATTTGGGAGAAACTGAGTGAACTCTTTTAAAGCTTGAGATCAGTAAACTGTGGACACATCTTGGACTGGCTGACTTGTGAGTTACATTTTAAGACTTCAGAACTGGAATACTTCAAT